GGCGCCCGCCATGGAAAGACCCTTTGAAATCTCGGCGGGAGGAGCGTCGTCGCCGCCCTCTTCACCCTCATCGATCTCCGCGACGTCTTCCTGACTGGTCTTCTCGGGCCAGGCGTTGCCATCCTTCTGGATGTATTGGTACTCCCTGAGCTTGACGACCGCGGCGCTCAGAGCCTCGTGGAGCTCGGCGGGTTGATCTCTGAGGTTGCCGACGCCTCCGTGCTTGTTGAAGATGATCTGGGTGACCTTGGCGTTGACCTTGTTGTCGCTCTCCTTCGCTTGCCGTTCAGCCATCCGATCCAAAGCCCTTTGGTTGAGCATTTCGTCCTTCGTCATGGCTACCGGCGAAGGACCCTCGTCGACGTCTGAATCTCCGGACTAGAGCAAGCAAATGAGGTGAGCATACATTTATACAAGTCAATGAAGAGACGTACGGCGTATTCGCGCTTGATCCGTTGGCGAGCGCGTTGGGTCTTACGTCCCTTCAACGGCGAGTGAGCATTTAGTGGCGAGGGAAAACACAAGGATACGTACCTTGATCGCGGCGCCGGACTCGTCATCGCTCATCTGTTCCTAGAAATATTGAATGTTAGTTATGATACATGACGGGTAATAGTAGTTAGAGGTGGAAGGGCGGGCGCAAGGGCGGGCGCGAGGGCAGGCGCGAGGGCAGGCGCGGGGAGCGGGCGCGAGGGCAGGCGCGAAGGGTATAGTAAATAGCCTAGACAATTGTATGGTCAGTATAAAGCTGGGGGGAAGCATCCCCCCGCGCGCGATGCATACCTGCAATGATCAGTGAGTACCGATCAGAGCAGATAAGGCGAAGGAACTCATCTCATAAGATGAACCCCTAGCACCAAAGTGCACATCCGGCGGAGTGTGCAGCGTGTACGCTCCCGTTGCAGAAGCGCTGCCCAGGGAATACCCGAGGGTCTTACGGCGCATCCACGATCCCAAAAGGGGGATACGGGAGGGATACAGGAGGAGGGAGGAGGGAGGAGGGAGGAGATCGGCGATGATGGCGGTCGAGATGAAAGAACTTGAAGTCGAAGTCGGCGCGCGTGAGTCCGTTGACTGTTGTTTGTTGTTGACGGCTGATGACGCCGCCGCCTTGCACCCTCCTGCGCCTCCCACGCGCCTTGTCTCCTCCCGCCACCAAGTCCTCCCGCCATGTCCCCCACCCCATCCTTCGTCCCCTTTCCTAGAGCGACGCCCCACGGGGCCGCGCGTAAATCCCTCGGGTATTCCCTGGGTAGCGCGGTCCCCTCGGTGGGCCTCGCGTCATCCCCCACGCCCAGCGCGCGTATGCGCCCGCCCGGTACGTGAAAATTTGAACGAGGAAAGCGTACCTCTTTGACGCTGGGCCTCGTAGGGATGCCCAGCTTTGCCTGCGACCTCATCTGGCTGACCTACGGCGGGTGAGCACAGTCGATACGAAGGTAAGATTAAAAACTCATACCTTCGCCTTGAACGGGGGCTGCGCTGACTTCGACCTTGACCGCGCTCTAGGCTTTGGCGGCGGCGGCGGCGGCAGGACCTCCTCCTCGACGTCCTCCATATCGACGTCCTCTTCGGCGTATCCCATGTCGATGTCCTCGTCGAAGACCTCGATCTTGACGCCGAACTCTTCGCGCTGCTTTCCCTGTGCAAGTGGATCAGCGTCTATTCTCCTGGATATAAGGTAAGACTTTACCTTTGCCTTCAACGACCTCCCCCTTGACGACTGCTTGGGCAGATCCTCCTCGTCCTCCTCCTCGTCCGAAATGACGATGACCTCGTCGTCGTAGACACCGAGCATGGGTTCGGAGCGCTGATCAGGTACGTGAGCGAGTCGGTTGTCAAAAGTACGAACCAGTCATGCTAACCTTCGAAGCAGGCGCCTTATTGGATGGGCCGGCTTGCGCCACGGGCGTTGGTGCTCTGTGCCTCGGCAAAGGCGTCACCGACCTGCGAGAAAGTGCAGGCGTCGCCGACCTGGATACCGACCTGGATACCGACCTGGACGGCGGCGGCGGCGGCGGCGCTGAGCTCCTCGACGTGGGCGCTCGAAAGACCTTGATCTTCTTGGGTGGCGGTGGAAGGTCGCTGTCGTCTGAGTCGTTCTCGTTGTCCGCCGGCGGAGGACCCGCCAAGTCTTCGTCCGACGACGGCACGAGCTTTTCGGGATTTTCAGGGACTCTACCAGACGGCACCCTGGTCTTCTTGTCCTGGCGATTCCTGACGCCCGGCCTGATGAGGTCGCTCGTGCCCACGGACTTGGGCTCCTGAAAAAACTATGTAAGTCGTTGTCCAACCGGCGAATTGTATAACGCGCTTACCCCTTGATCCAGCTTCTCCCGCATCTTGTCGTTTTGCTTCTTCGCCTTCCTCGCAGCGGCCAAAGTGGCAGGGTCCCACTCATCTTCCTCCTCAGGCTGGTCTTCGTCTTCCTCGGTGTCGCCATCGTGGGCGCTGTCTTCGTCGTCGACGGGAGGAGCTTTGCGGTCTCGGGGCAGTGCCTTGGCCTTCGCGCTTGCCGAGTTGCTCGCCGCCTGGTCCGCGTCGGTCTTGCGGATCTTCGGGGCGACCTTGACCTCCGGCTGCTCGTCGGCGGGTCTCTTAGCTGCCCGTCCACGCGGTGGCGCCTTCGTGGCCGGAGTGGACTTGGTTTTGGTCGCTCTCTTACGAGCCGGCGGCTGGACTTTGTCGGCGCTCTCGCGGTCGTCGTCGCTCAAAGGACTGAGGTCAGACGACTCCGCCTCTTGAGCGGAAGGAGCTGCAATACTACTAGTAAGTGGACATGTTGAGACTATCATGAATAAGTACTGACCGGTGTCTAGCTCAGCGCCGACGTTTTCGCCGACATTGCCAGTGAACTCGGGCTCGGGCTCAGGCTCAACCAGGAGCTCGGGTGCCTCGTCCACAACCGCAGCGCCGGCCTTCGTCTTGCGCTTCTTGGCCTGCTTCGCTGGCACCTGAGGAGGTTCGACTTCGGCGGCCAGCTCATCGTCGAGACGCTCGACCGGAGCAGGAGTGGTGGCATTGGCCTTGGCCTTGCCGTTGCCCTTCTTGCCAGTGGACGCCTTCTTGGGGACAGGAGGCGGAGCGTCGGCAACTACGTCGTCATTCACCGTCGCTGCGGCCTTCTTGCCCTTGGCGGCGCCGCCTTTGCCCTTGCCGTTGCCCTTGGCTGGCTGCTGGGCGGGTTTAGGAGGCGCTGGAGCCGCATTGCTTTCGGCGTTCTTCTGGGAGCGGGTTTGACGAGGAGGCATAGCGGTTGGTGGTCAGGAGGGAAGGGGGCGTACGCGTTTCAACGCGAGCAAGCGAGGCCCCGATCACCGCCCACGTTTTGCCATTCGCCCCGTTTTCCTAAGTCGATTACCTATTAACCGCATGTATCACGACCTTTCCGCTTCTAATTGATCCACTTTCTCGTCCTAACTCGTCCTACCCCGCCAGTTACCTTGTTTCCCGCTACCATCCTCCCCTCCCCTCCCTATTGCAACCCCTCCACCTACGACGCCACTACGAAAAGCACTCGGGTAGTCCCTGTGCGAGAGGCTCGGAGTGGTTTACAAACCATTCTGCTGCCTTGCGTGCCGGTCTTCATGGACTGGCACTACGCTTTCCTGCTGGCATATGCAGTGCTGTGTCGATGGCGGGACCCGCGCACGGCATACCTCTGCCAGATCTATGGCGGATACATCGCGGATTGGGCTGTTATAGCCCTTGACTTGGCGTTCAGCTGCGCGCGCCAATTCCTCGCCGCCTACGGCGGGCGAATCGCTCTCGTGCTCGAAGTCTTGCTGGTCGTCATTTCCGCTTCCTGGTTCTCGTACCATATCGGCTGGTATGGACCAGCACCTACGGCGTTTCCCTTGAACCGTGCCCAGCAGCGCCATCAAGTATGCAACGTTTTCATCATTGGGCCATCAATGAAGGGCACCTTGCTGCGTGAGTCCCCCCGCATTCTTTCCTTCAGCATCGTCTAACCCTACTCTGTTTAATAGGTGTCCCTTTTGGGGCATCTGCATCTTGGGTTGTGCACGAGCTCGAGCGGCGTCTGCTCGTGCGACGAGATCGCGCCGGGAAGCGCCTTTCGTACTCACTCCTGCTCCATCCGGGGGATGGGTCCTTACCACGGCTATTGCACCGATACCAAGATCTCCTACAGGCCGGCATGCGCAACAACTCAACGATAGAGGTGCGCTATTGCTTGCGCGGCGGCGCTGGTAACGCAGAGGGTGAGTAATGATTTTATCTACTCTACCAACGTCTTTTAACTGAATATATAATAGCTGGCCCATCTAGACATGCACATTTAGGTTCAGAAGAACCCGAACCCGAGGGGGCGCCCCCACCGCCAGTACAGCCTTCGCAAGCCGAACCTCCGCCATCAACGTCAGGGCCTCCGATAGAGACGGCGAAAAATCAGTGCAAGATCTGCCTCCGGCAGTTCGCGAATAGCAAGGGCCTGAGCGAGCATCACTCGAAGGCGAGAGCGGGTTCAAGGTGCAGACCCAAGGACACGCAGAACTTGCTTCGCACAATGACCGCAACCCTGCGCAGAATCAAGTCTGCGCGTACCTCTACTGCGCGCACCTCTACGGAACCTCCCGAGGCTCCGACGCCCAACTCTGGACCTGACGTACAGCGCGCGAACGATAGGATGGATGTCGACGAGGAAGGTTCGGGCATGGCTGGTATAGGCGCAGGTGGAAGTGGTGGAGGACTCGACGCGGTGGCCGACGTTGGAGGGGTTGGCCGCGGTGAGGATGGCGATGAGCCGCGGTTTGTTGACGAGGGATGGGATGGGGACGGATGGCGTGCAGATGAGGAGTTGGACGTAGGCGGTGATCCTGGCGCCGAAGATGTTCCCGCGCCGTCTACCGCGGTCGAAGACGAGGACTTGGAAACCGATGAGGAAGACCCTTTTGGGTGGAGCGAAGAGGACGTGCGCCGAGCCCTGGAGAGAGGGAAACGGATTGAAGACGAGTTGTTTGAGGAAGAGGAGGAGCGGGAGAATGAGGAGGATGCGGAAGCCGACCGTGCGAGATACAGCGACGACGAGGAGGAAACAACTCTTGAGACGCCACGACGCCGCGTACACAAGACTCACCATGCGACCACACCACCTGGTTCACCGCTGCCTGGCTCTTCCTCACCACTGGACTCCGACTTCCCGCTGCCGTTCAATTCCCCGCCGCCGCCTAACTCGCCTCTGCCCTCAGACCGTGATCCGACACCGCCACAAGATACCCCCCCACCTCCAGACCATCAGCAACTGCCACCCGAGGCATATCCACCCCCGCAGGATCGAACGCCGTCTCCTGAGCCGGAGCCCAGCAAGCGCAGGATCGAGAAGTTTGGCGAGCGAGCGGGAGAAGTACTCAACCCAGAAGACGAGCCCGGCGACCCTTACAGCACCTACGAAGCGGGGTTAGCTGACGACGTTGACCCGAATAACCCTTACCTCCCCTTCCGCACCAAGTTGGACTGGGACATCGCGTCCTGGGCGAAGACGTGCTCAATCGGTGCGAACCAATTGACGGCACTCCTACAGATCGAAGGCGTAAGTCATATCATCTGTGCCAGCTATTCCCAACTGACGTGATCGCAGTTGAAAGAGAAGCTCGGCATTCAGTTCTCCTGTAATAAGGCTCTGAATGAGATCATCGACGTTGGGTTGCCGCCGCGGTCTAGCTTCAAACGTCGTACATACGAGCTTGGAGGCGAACGGCTCGACATGTACACGCGCGACGGGCTCGAGCTGCTCCGGGAATTGTACGGACGTCCGGACTTTGCGCCACATCTCGTCTTCGCACCGGAGAAGCACTTCATGCTCGTTGGGGATACAGAGGAACGGGCTTACTCGGAGATGCATACCGGCACTTGGTGGTGGTGGGTACAGGTGCGTGTGCTGACTCTAATCCACTGGGCTTTGACTAACGTCGTCAACAGATGAAGATCGAGCGGAAGCGTCCTGGCGCTACTGTCGTGCCCCTCATCATCTCCTCCGACAAGACCCAACTCACCCTCTTCCGCAACCGCTCCGCATATCCGGTCTACCTCACCATCGGAAACATCCCAAAGGAACTGCGCAGGAAAACGTCGTTACAAGGCATGGTATTACTGGGATATCTTCCGGTCACCGGCCTTAAGGGCATCAAGAACGACGATGTACGGCGTCGCGCCCAACTCAACCTCTTCCACACGTGCTTATCGGACATGGTGGCCCCGTTTAAACGCAAGGCGCTGAAGGGAGTCGTGATGACGTCGGGTGATGGTGCGCGTAGGCGTTGCCATCCGATCTTGGCGGCGTACGTTGGCGATTACCCCGAGCAGGTGAACGTCGCCGGCGTCAAGTATGGGCATTGCCCGAAGGGCACTATCGACCCCTCTCTCTTCGGTACAGAGCTTCCGTGTCTGCCAAGGGACATGCAGAAGGCTGCCGCCGCAATCGACGTTCAGACGGACAACCCGGGGGACGCCGCCGCCTTCGTTGAAGCATGTCAAGCTGCTGGCGTCAAGCCCATCACCAACCCGTTTTGGAAGGACTGGGCGTACGTCGACATTCATCAAGCGTTACAGGTCGACATCCTTCACCAGCTGTATCAAGGTGTCGTCAAGCACCTCATCGCATGGCTCAAGCGCGTCTACGGCGAGAAGGCCATCGACGAACGCTTCAAGTGCCTTCCGGACAATCATCAACTTCGGCACTTCTCCAAGGGCATCTCGAGCATGTCGCGCGTGTCGGGCACCGAACACCAGGACATCTGTCGTGTTCTCCTCGGCGTCATCACCGACCTACCTCTACCCAGCAACCGAAACGGCCGGCCCATCTGCATCGTCAAGGCTACGCGCGCCCTCCTCGACTTCGTGTATCTCGCTCAGGCTCCCGAAGCTACTGAGACTACGCTTACCGAGCTTGTCAAAGCGCTACACACCTTCCACGTCAACAAGCACGTCTTCAAGACCCTCGGCGCTCGCGAACACTTCAAGCTCCCCAAACTGCATGCTCTCATTCACTATGCACCCGCTATCAGACTCTTCGGTACCGCTGACAACTACAACACAGCATACTCGGAAAGGCTGCATATCGACTACGCGAAATCGGCATGGCGCGCCAGCAACCGCAAGGACGAATACCCCCAAATGACGGTTTGGCTTCAACGCCGCGAGCAAATCCGCGCCCACCAAGCTTATATAGACTGGCGTCAACGTGCTCCCGGCGAAGATACACCTCGCATTCGGCTCCCGCGCGCGTTGAAGCTCAAGAACAACGTTGCCCACGGTCCCAGCGTTCATTGCCTCACGTTTGCCAAGGCTGAGAGTCGCTATGGCGCGGTCGACTTTCAGCGCGTCTTGACGGAGTACATACTCAAGTTACGGAGGCCCGAAGACTCCGATCGCCGCATCGCTCGTCTCGCTCAGACGTGGATGTTACCCTTCCTAACAGTCCCCGCCTTTCATCGTCTGAAGTTCTGGCACCCCGACGCTTTGGAACGCGAGGGGGACTTCGTTCCCGAACTTCCAGACTCCGTGATCGCACGGCCTTGGTATCGGGATACGCAGAAGAGGAAGGTGCAAGGGCAGTTTAGTACTGCGTTAGTGAACGAGTTTGATGATGGCGGTCATATTGGCGTTGACGGTGCGTCTGTATCATATTCTACCTATTCTATACTCTAACTTACTTCTCCAGGATACCGAGTTGGTCAAGTGCGCCTGATCTTTGGTATCCCTGCCAAAGCTCGGCGCGAACTCTTCAACGACGACCCCAATCTTCCTGAGCACTTCGCCTACATCGAGTGGTTCACCCCGTTCCGCGACGCGTACAAGAGCGACGTTCATCACATGTACCGTGTCAAACGCGACCTTCGCGGCCCTCCGAACGCGAAGGAGAGCGTTGTTTCCATCCTCCCCGTCGATCGTATCAGGCGCAGCGTCTCACTTCTCCCCCGCATCAAAACCCGCAACGTACCTGCTGGCTGGAACAAGGATAACATCCTCGACAAGTGCGAATGGTTCCATGTGAGCCCATTTTCGGATCGGCACGCTTATATCACGATTAAGTAGAGTATGATACGGCTTACTATCAGGCAGTACTAGAGTTATTTTTCTTCCGGCAATATACTTTTTTTCTCATATTTCATATCTGTGTGATGAAGACAGCTCTCTATTTATATGTATACAAGGTATGTGTTCTATTGTAGTCGAAGGGTTTACTAACTATGCTGTATGCGACTAGGGTGGGAGTGCGGGAAGGTGGACTAAGACGCGCGCGGCGCGCGTTCACTTCTTCATCCGCGACCACCACCATCACCGCGACCACCACCACCACCGCCCACCACCACCATCCGCAACTCCACCAGCATTCCCCATTCCCCCCATCCCATCCCTTGCGCATCATTCACATAAGCCCCTCGGGTAGTCCCTGGGCAGTGTCTGGTTTAAAGCGAGGTTATGGCACCACGTACCGCGACCAACGCGCCCGCGCCCTCGGCGAACCACACGCCTACGGGCCCCTCCGCATCCGGCCTCCCGGCCCGGAAAGCTCTACCCAAGTTCAAGAAGAAGACGGCTGAAGAGAAGGAGAAGGAGAGGAAGGAGAAAGAGGAGGAGGAGAAGAAGGAGAAGGAGAAGGAGAGGGAGGAGAAGGAGAGGGAGAGGGAGAGTAGGAAGGAGATGGATCTGGAGCCCGGCGAGGTTGCCGCCTCACCCGCAACATTGCCCTTGCGTCCGATGCATGGGCCGCGTTCGCGCCCGTCACAGGCGCCACCTTCGCGCCCCACGCGCCCTTTGCCCCGCCGCGCGAATCAACCAACACAATCGCTCCCGCCCCACGCATCGCTGCCGAGCAAACCACAAGCGGCGCAGATGCGCAAGCCCCAGCCCGCCAAAGCGCGCAACCACAAAACGGGCAGTTCCAAGCCCGCGAGGAAGCCCACGCCGAAGGACTTGGAGGCGCTGAAGAAGACCCTACCGTCGGTTGCGCGCACGCAGGACCTCGCGCACTCAAGAGCGTCAACTGCAGCGTCTACCGCTGCAGCGGCCCCAAAGTTGCCTGTCAAGCGCCAGGCGCCTGCCGGATATACGGCAGCTGCGCGATGGCAGGCTGGCGCCTTGTTCGCCTACAATACCTCGGAGTTGCCGCCGGATCCAGACACCGCCCCGCCTTCCGGTTCCGTGTATACGGACGCCCTTCTGGGCCCTTACGAGCACATGCGCCAGCCTCAGCTCTTCAACGCTCGCGCTTCGTACATGGCGTTCATACGCCAACCAAACGCCGAAAACTTCGACTCGCTGGACCATCATCGCTGGGATACATCAATGGAGGGGGAGGACTTCATCGAAGTCCCGGCGGCTGAACGCGTGCAGAACTTGCGGGACAATTTCGCGGCCACCGTCCGGCTCCTCCAGGAGGTCTTCTCTTCGGACGTGCTGCTTAAGGACGACTTCGCATGGGAGACGCTCGGCATCATGATGCTACCTGAGGTTGCTGTGGGGACTATGTGGAAGGCCCAGGTCATGTTGAGGTACGAACAGGAGTTCCAGTTCCTGCAGCATCCGCAGGACCGCGACCTTGCCTGGCGCCAGTTTCAGCGCAGTGCGCTCATCGTTGAAGCCTTCTTATTCGAGTGCACCATACTCTTGCGCGACGTCGATCACCCAACCATCAAACGTCTCCTCGAGTACATCAACCAGTACAAGGAGGACTTCGGCGATGGGCCGAAGCGCGGCGCGATTCTTACCGGGGACGACATCTCGTCGTACCACTCGTTCCTCGTCGGCGCCGGGGTGCCTACGTTCGTCCTCATCCCGTTCGAGGAGCTCGTAGCCCCCGACAACTTGAAGTACTCGCCGACGAGTAAATGGCGCTGCTCTACAGAGATCGACGCAAAGCTCAGTAAGTAATATCCGTTTATCATTATTCAACAGTATCTAATCTTTACACAGGCTCGATCAAGCAGAAGGATCTCCCGCGCTCTTGGTATCCGGCAAAGGGTGTCGCGTGGGAGATGTGGGAGATCTTAGCCATCTCGGGTGTATCCTCGCCGCGCGATGATGCGGAAGGTGTGGAGAAGGATGATGAGGACGAAGACGACGACGAGGACGAGTTCAAGCCGTCCGATCGGGCTCAGGCGCTCAAGCGAAAGCGTATCGCCGACGAGGAATGTACGTGCATGTTCATTTTCTCTTGTAAGCAATTGCTCACAACCCTCTCAAATTAGCACGGAAGCGCCTGCGTCTTGAAAAGGAGCAAGAGCAAGAGCTTCGCGAGGAGCTTTTCAGGAAGAAGAACCCCGTAAGGGCTCGCGCCACAACCGCCGAGCGCTACGCTTGGATCGCCGAAGCCGTCCCCGCTCTTCGTAGCTACTACGACCGACTTACGATAGTTCGCCCGAAATACCTGGCGCATCGAATCGTCCCCTACGCCCAAGCCGAGAGCGAGATGCTCGACCACGGCGTCATGTTGGACTCGGGAACAAAGTCTCAGGCGTCCTACCTTCCGCCCGTCCACATCATCATCGGCGCGAACGAGAAGCGCCAGCTACGCTACCTCGTCAACTTCGTCCACCTGCTGCCGTCCTTCCTCAAGATCATCGAGCTCAAGCAGAAGCATCCCGATAGTAATCTCGGTCGCTTTGGGCCGAGATACTGGAGAAACATACTCAACATCATATGGGATGAAACGGACCTGTGGGCTGAGGCGGCCGACGACGAGTACAGCGGCAAGGACTTGTTCCGCGATCAGTACGAGCATCTTCGGCGGAATCCCTCCGAGCGCCCTGCCTGGGGGAAATTACCTTGCGGGCACGACGTCACAGAAGAGCTCTTGGAGAAGGATACGCTGCTGAGGACAGGCCTCCTCTTCGAGCTGAACATGTGGCACCTCCTTCTTTGGCTCCCTGAACTCGTACCTCGCGATACGCTCACGGCCACGGGCATCAACAGGCTGAAGGACGAGCACGGCATTCACTACACGCCCGACTACACCGCCCCCGACCCGAACAATTCGAACAAGGTCTTGGGCGCCATCAAACGCGTTGTGCTTGGCGGCCAACCGATCCGCTCGGACTTCTGGCTGGAACCATGGTCCGCTGAGGCCGACAGGTTGGACGCTCGCGGTCGATGGCTTCAGGACATGGCGAAGTTCTTGTCCGGCGTTCGCGGCGCAGAAGGTCTTGACAGGAAGAAGAGTGGCTCTCGGGATTGGCCGTACACGAGCGCGGTGCTCGGCAAGATCAAGACGAAAGGCATGACTGAGGGAAAGATGGATATCCTCGAGAACCATCTATACCTCCGCTATGCGCTCGCGTCGGTCGCGCGAGGGCACATGCCCGTCGAATTCCAGATCCAGCCGTGCGGCGATATCTTGAGCTGCCAGGCGTGTCGGTTGCAATATGTGAGGGAACATGGGGATATGATGCAGCAGCTGGATGAGCTGCCGGACGAGGGACCGGAATACTGGTAGAAGGGTAGTCAACAGGTGCGTTGTCCGCGACTTACTTTCTTGATGCCCGCTGACATGGACTTTAGGATACCGGTATGTCGTGGACGCTTAGACACCCGCGGACCCGCACAAGTACGCCGCTACACGACGCGGTTGACGCATCCCGCATCCCGCCTTCTCCTGCTTCCCGCTGCTCCCTTCCCTCGCGTTCGGCCATAGACTCTTCTACATACAGTCTTTCATTCCCTTTCCGCATCGCCTATTCTCGATATACTTCCATTCTTGCTGGACTATATGTAATACCATCATTCTTCTTCCGTCTTCTCGAATCTGTACTATACGCGCTCGGACTCTATCCCCGTACCTTCGACATCGCATCTCCACAAGTCTGACTGCTCACACAACCTGTACTATACTATGCTATCACCATATCTTGCACGGGCATTTGGATGCCTTCTCACGCGACTTCGGACGGCGATTAGGACGAAAAAAGGGTGCAATTCCGAGAACGTAAGCTACTTTAGTTCGTTTTCAGGGCCCGTGAGCTCCGGCCAAGTGCGAAATTAAGGGCTGATGAGCTCGAACGCTGATTAGAAGGCATGAGGTGGCCTTAGGCCCGTTCTGGCCTTTAGCTTCATTAATCTCGGAATTAGCGGTCGGCCGGTTTCCTGATGCACTCGATCAAGGCTGGCCATGCACCCAAAGAGCATGCATTCTCGGCTTCGTTGCATGCGCTCCGACGCATGTACACAGGGTGTGGGGTAGTATTATACAGCATAAGCTGCTTGCGTCAGCATGGGCACCCGATACATTTCTCTTGAGGCAAGGGTCAGGCACGCAGCGCCGCGCAGTGCGACAGATGGGGCTTTGCTCAGCTGGGGTTCAGCGTCGGCCGTATGAGACCGCGAATCTTGTCGCAACAGCTTGCTACATGCAAGGGCGGCCATCGCGCAGGTACGAGAGAACGTTGGTAGAGACAATCACCACCGAAGAATGCAGTCAAGCGAATGAGCGGAGAAGTCGTGAGCGTTATCAAGCCAGAAGCGCCGTTTTGGCTAAGTAGTCGTACACGGTCCGGAGCTTGTGTCGCCGCTCCCTAAAGTTTACTTGCTCAGCACCTCTGACCGCGACCACCACCACCTCATCAATCCCGCCTCCTTCTACCTTCCCAGTCTTCCGGTTATTACCCCACACTCATCGACCTTTACGGCGGCGGCGAAGTCGAGTCAAATCCTGAAAAGGACACCCACGTGCGGGCCGGGTGTCGTCATTCCGTGCAGATTTTCGTCTGCAGTGATCGAGAGTTTGGAAAGAAAAGGAACCACCGCTTCCGCGAATGCAAGTCTTGAAGCGGCTCTTGCCTCTGACCGCCGCGTCTCGCTGACCCGCTCGCTGCTTCCAGCGTCTATCGGCGAGCGCCCATAAGAGATCAAACGCCCTGTGCAAACCTCCATCCGATCCGACCGAGCCGACTGTGCATAACCCTGGGTATGTTTCGTTGCGGTACACCATTTATAGCCCCAGGGCGCTAAACAAATGTTCGCAGAAACGCTCATAACCACCGAAAATGTCGCTCACCATGACCCGCCACCACCTGCTCACGCCAGCCGCCGGCCTGATGCCCACCCAGCCGACCAAAAAGCACCACCCGTCGACGCTGCCCATGCCCGTCCCCACTCGCAAAAGCGCCATCACACATCACGCTCCCCGTGTCCGTGAGCGCGACCGCTCGCCGGAAATGCTCTTCGACATGTCCCCGGCCGAAGGGGCCGACGCGCCCATCCACTATCGCGCCCTCGCTGCACCACCGCCCGGCACGAGCCCGGCGCCTTCCACGCACTCGACGTACTCGTCTCATTCCTACGCGGCCCAGCCGTTCCCGATCAACACCAAAAACCGGCTGAGCCTCGTCGATGCGTCGCTAGCGCCGATTAAAACTGCACCAGTGCCGCTCAATGTGCACCAAAAGCACGAGCCGTTCTTGTACGCCTTTCCGACGCTCTCACCCGCACAACGGGCACCACAGAGTTTGCCGACTCGTGGGCGTCCGCTCGCACTTCGCACGGATGCAGCGCGTACGCAGCCACATACGCCTAGCCCGCCATTCGGCCGCGGACCGTCTATCCGGCGAGCCGTAACCGACACTGCTACACCACCTTTGACCGGGGCGTTCCGCGGAGCGCTCGCGGCGAGCGACAGTGGATCGTTCGAAGACGACTTCGACGAGGACGAGCTCGGCCCGGATGCGTTCTTCGGAAGTGCGGCGGACCATTGGCCTGCGCCGCCTGAGCCTGGCAGTATCAAGCAGCACGAGCTCAGCCGAGGTCGTGAGCGAGCCCCGAAGCATCGCCGATACTAGTTCTACTCGACCCTTCTCCCTAGTGGCGCGTGCAATCGTCATTCCTTACCTGGGTTCGCCTGTGTTGCATCTAGGCCTTCGCCGAGGTTGTCTCGTAACCTGTTCCATACTCTCTCGTCGTCCCATGTCCGTTCCGCTCTGTCCACCGTGTCGTCCCTCATCATCGCAGTCTCGTCCGTCCGTCCGTCGCATCAGTCCGTCGCTTCGCTATAGTACTACCCATCTTTCTGCGTCCCATCCCCACCATCTGTCCATCCACATCCATCAGTCAACTTGCATCTTACCGATTGTCTGTCATTCACCGCATCTTCGTTTCCGTCCGTCTCGTCTACGCGCGCACCCATCATATACAGAAAATACAGAAACGATTCTCGTTCTCGACTCTCGAACATCATACATACGACCAAACCATCATCATCATCCCCTGGCATCTGTGATATACGTACTCCCATCTTGTTCTCGTCCCGCTTCCGTCTACTCCCTCGTCTCCTGTACTTACGATCTACCCGCCCTTCACCCTCCAGATGAAGTACGATACTCCCTTCACAGCACGGATTCCCCCGGATAATGTTTCTCTACCGTTCTCTTTCCTCACCACCCTCTTCTCTCTTCGCATCTTCCTTATCATCTCACTTTACCCTTTCTCTCTACCAGCTGGCACACAATCCTCGCCATCGTACGCTGATTTCTCTCAGCGTCACATACCCATATACTTTGGGCTTACCGGACTTCACACTTCACTTCTTTCGTTCTGTACATATTTAACCCCATTGAAGTTGAAGATCACTAAGTGTGGACGCGAGGCTCTGAGAGCACGGTGCTAAGTCCTACGGGTATGTGGCGTGTATTGCTATTTAGCGCTTGGCACTGGCAGAGCTTCGGAGTTTTGGACGGGGCTATCGACTCGCTCTGGGTCGGGCTTCGAAGGTCATTGGTAGAGTCGACCGTATGCTCCGGCCGAGCTGCTGCAGCTCACCCAGCTTGTTCAGACTGTATCGATTCTTCATAGTCCTCTACAAACGATCTCCAAGCTCGATCAACCGTCTACAAGACAAAGTGGTCGAGCGCTGGTTGCGTGGGGAAATTTCCATGGCGGGCTTGGATAGCCGGTCCGCAGTCACCGATGGCCTACGTCATTATTTCGGTCGTCCACCCAACGACATCCGCGTGAACAGCTCTCAAGTTTGAACAATCATGGTCTTGCAGTCGACCAGTTTACTACTGCTTGCCGACCTGAGAGCTGGTCGGCTGTTACAGTATCGGTAGCCCCGGACTAAGCAGTATGACGGCAGGCTGACGAAGCGTTGCGTGTCATTTCCCTCGCTACGCAGCTTGCCGACACGTACAAAATGGGAGTGTTCGAACCAGTTGTGCACGATCCTTCTTGATGTCTTCTCCGACGACTGGCGGTACTGGCTCTCGGTCTCTATGGCGCACGCTTGCGTCGCGACGCGTGCTCCTTGCACTGGCTACGATATCTCTAGCCGCGTTCACGGCAAGACGTAGTTCTTCTCACCTCTTTGAGCCCTTGACGGTGGGGACTATGAACCTCGGTCATCGAGCCGTTATGGCACCTATGACACGCTATAGGGCTAGTGACGATCATGTACCCAACCCGCTTGCGCAGGAGTACTATACTCAGCGGGCTCATACGCCGGGCACTCTCATTATCACGGAGGGCACTTATATTGATGATCGTGCTGGTGGGCAGCCTAATGCGCCTGGTATCTGGAATGACGAGCAAATAGCAGCATGGAAGCCTGTAAGACTAAACTGACCATGGTCTGAAACGTAGATTGCTAAGTGTGCGGTGTTCAGATTGTCGACAAGGTGCATTCCAGCGGCTCGTTCATGGTAGTCCAACTCTGGGCCTTGGGACGCTCAGCACATCCAGAAGTACTGGCCGCCAAAGGACACCCATACGTTAGCGCTTCAGACGTTCAGCTCAGCCATCGCTCTTCACCACCTCGGCCTTTGACTAAAGCCGAGATCGCGGAGTATGTGCAATTATATGCCACTGCCGCGACGAACGCGATCAAGGCAGGCTTTGACGGAGGTCGGTTGCTCTTCCTAGGAATCTGGAATGAGGGACTGATCGTTCGTAGTGGAGATACACTCGGCGAACGGCTACCTTCTGGATCAGTTCTTGTCGACGGCAAGTAACGCTCGCGATGACGAGTATGGGGGCAGCGTTGAAAACCGGATTCGCTTCGCCAAAGAGGTCGTCGATGCCATCGCAGGCGCCATTGCATCCAACAGAACAGCCATACGATTCAGTCCTTGGGGAACCTTCCAAGGTTTGTACCCGTCAGTACGGAACAGGAGAAATGTCACTAATCATACTGTAGATATGGGGATGGCCGACCCAAGGCCGACCTATACAGCGCTCGTCGAATACTTGAAGGACTCGCACCCAGATCTAGCTTACATCCATGTTGTCGAGCCTGAAGTCGAGGGAAAGCGAGTTGAAGATGTCGTGCACTCCAACGCTTTCATTCATGACATCTGGTCACCAAGACCTCTTATTCGCACTGGCGGCTTTGATAAGGAGACGGCCTTAGCGGCTGCACGGTCGAAGGACACGCTCGTGGGCTTTGCCCGCAACTATCTGGCCACGGTCCGCATCTTAACCTTGTATCCAAGCTGCACACACTCCTAATAATAACGTAGCCCGATTTGGTGTACAGGCTGAAGAATGGTATTGAACTCAACACACCCGACCGTGCGACATTTTACCAGGGCGGCGAGAAGGGCTACATCGACTATCCTTTCGCGGACAGTGCTACGCTCTAAAGCCTCGCAAATAGTCGTACTGCTCGGAACTGCCGAGCATCCCCGAAGTGATATAGTATACATCCGCGTTGTATGTGCTTGTCTACTGTACAGAATCTTGTATCTTGGGTGTGGTAATCGTACAAAGAGTAAGCGATAGAACTAATGCAAACCCTGCATCGTCTCCAGTATACCACGTATCTTCTCCCCTGAAAGCTGCAGCCGCTCCGCAGGGCCTTTACCCTTCATGACCTTCTGATACGCCTCGGAATCTGGTTTAAGCTCGAGGAATCGCTCGAGCAAGTCGCCATCAAGGAAGCCGAAGGCTCCAGCATCTGCATCCGACCGCGTGATGCCCCCGCGACCTACAGGGGCTCGCCAACGTGCATGCGCATCTGCGTCGTCGTCGTCCGTGGGTATAGGTGAAAGGACGCGGCCGAGATTGCGCTGTAGTGCGGACATGTGAAGGGAAAGCTCGGTGCTCATATCAAGGATGGCGCCGATGCGGCCCGATGCGGTGAAGAAGAGTTGCCGTGGGGATATCTCCGCGTCTTGTACAGAGTCATCCGCGTTCAGAGTGCCTATGAAGGATAAGGAACTAGTCCTGACGTCACAACAGAAACAGAGCTCACCGGGAAGGAATCTGTTGACATTCTCGCCGATGTTGAACATGCCATCAGGATCGAGCAAGGTCTGCCGTCCGTTATTATGGAGCGAGAAAGAGAACAAGTTGAAGTCCGCCTATGATGATTGCGTTAGATCAATGCGACCATTCAATGCCGAGGTGACGTACGTTTGCGCCGATAACAGTATCCTTGTCCCATGCCCCAAGAGCCTTGGGCCAAAGCGGACTATAGTTCCTCGCGACGGTCTTCAACTTCGTCTGGCCAGAAATGCGCGTAAGGTCAAGTGCTGAGATGGAGTGCACGGCATCGCCATCAAAGATACGGGATCCATGGACTGCGAGGCTTGCGACGATGTAGTCGTGATTCCATACGAAGACGGACTGCAGTGACCCGTCGGGGCCTTCGGCACGATTGTACTTGAAGACCACGATGGCACTGCTGACTGCGGCGATGAGATGGCCGTCGCACTCTTCCAATGCGTATACACTGCCCTTCACTGGCGCGTGAGCGTCAGGCTTCAGGCGGTCGGTCGCGCGAGGACGGTCGGAATCGAAGAGAAGGACCCGGCCCTCGGTGGGCTCGTTGCGTTCGACCGAGTGGGTAAACATGGTGCCGACTGCAAAGAACGTACGGCTGTCGCTATCGCCTCGGTGTATAAACCTCGTGGTAGAGACGATCGCTTCATGAGGCTGGCAGGTATATACCGACAGACCTATTATCATCCGCGTCAGTACACGACGTATTGACAGGCAGTTAGTACACTGACCTTCAAAGCTAGTATCATCGAGCACCCGGAAGGTACTGATGCTATCCGAATGAGCGGACGGCGTCGGCACACTCGTATGTAACGGGATCGGGTCGGATCGTATGCAGCCGACGCCGAAGGTGTGCGATTCTGGATCGTGCGTGATGCAGACTGGGTTGTTGGTGCCAAACGGAATCTGATTTTAGAGATCAGCCTGAGAACAAGACACAACAGGTGACATACATACCGTGCGAATCTGCATCCTGTTGACGCCGTTAACTTGCCCGACGACGAGATTGTTCTTGGTTGACAGAAGGATACTCGACTCCCAACCATCCACAGACAATGCCGCACTGGCCGTGACATCCTTTACCACAGTCAGCCAATATTAGGGCGATGATATGATAGTGGCTCACCTTGACGAGAACGGGAGAGTTCTGCAACGATCCAGAAGCCCATGAAAGCACCGCTGAGCGCCCACCACTAGCGAAGACCGCGCTGTGTCCTTGGATCGTGAGCTTTGAAAGACTAACAGGTGCAGTTCCTAGGGAGAAGACCCGACGGTCTACGAGGGCGCCATCCTTGATACCCGCGGCGATGACGGTTCCATCGGCAAGTCCAACTAAGAGAGCCGCTTCTTTAAGGTAGTGCTCGCCGGCCTTCGCGAGAAATTGGAGCAAGACGGAACGCGGGAGTGCGTGGAGGTCAGAGACACCAATCGGCAGCTTCGTACTGGACGTCTGGAGATCCTTTATTATGTCGAAGATGTGGGCACTATTGGATCCCCAGAAGGCGACGATGACGCTCAACGAGAACGCTTTGCCGACGCGCATAGGAGCAAGGGAAACTGCCGCAATCTCTTCGGCGAACTTGCGTTCTCTGCATCAAGGTTTTAGAGTCCATGGTGCGTGTTTCGGGGATATCACGCACCGCTGGTACAGCAGTTTACCATCCGCTGAGCGACTGAACACCTTGAGAAGCCCACCCGCGAGCGCGACGAGGATCTGACTCTCGTTGACGCTAGCGTGGGCGATTGGAGCTGACGCGATCCATTCGTCCACCAGCGTATGAGTCCCGTATATGTCCAGGTCAAACAGTCGGATACGGTCGGTGGTGACTTGGACGACCGTCGGTGCATCAGGATACGATTGACCGGCGGGTCCACGCAGGTTCCCGGCAGCGAGTGTGGGTAGGTTAGGCAAGAAGCCGGCCATGGCAGCGTCGACGCGTTCCCATCCCGAAGGTTGCACACGAAATAGTTGAGTGATAAGACCATCCGTGGCGAGTATGAAAGCGTCTCGGCTACGAGGGCTTATCAGTACGCCGTCTATTGCGCTAGACGAGAAGTAGCTTACCTCGCTTCGACGGTCTCTCTAATAGGGAAGATCGCGGTGAAGTTGCCCGCGCCTTCGATCTGAGCAAGTTCGCTGAAGTCGGCACCGTTGCGAATGACGCGTATGCTGCCCGTGCTCGTTCCACCGGACGCGGTGAAGATCTGTGGCTACAATCGGTGTGAGAATGGTGATCACCGTGGTAAGGAGGTCTACACGAACCACTCCGCTGCCGTCCGTATCTGCAAGGACAGCGTCTGTGATGGGAGAAATATTGGTCCATGTCGACAGGACGTCCAGATAGCTTCCAGGCGAAGCGATGATCTTCCCTTTTGTGACGCTCTTCGTCTCGCTACTTTCTACGGCTTTGCCCTTCCCCTTCGCCGTAGTGGAAGACGACGTTGAAAGCAGGTCATTGGGCGAGGCGTGCTTCAGGCCAAGAACAGGCGGGCCGGGGTGAAGATGCTGCGGGTGAGCATCGGGCCGTATGCGAACGACCTGGGAATCTCCAGATGCGGAGCCTACGAAGACCACTTGGTTGTCGATATACGACAACGTTGCGCCAGGAGAGACCTGGTGAACGATAAGCTGTGGCAACAAATGGTGACACGATCCAACCCTAACTGACCTCTCCGAGGGCTATCAGCAGCAACCCGTGTACGTCCAAGAGATCGAGGGAGAGGATAGCTAGGCGTCCGTGTGAGTCGCCCACTAAGAACCGCTTAGCTCCCAGGGAGCACCATCTGCGGCATGTTTTCAGTTGAAACTCAACTGGACAAAAGGAATAGCGTACGATGTCACTTCGGTCCACGGCCAAGATACCGACGCTCGCGGCTTCCCCTTCGTTTCCTTAACCGGCTCCTCTGCCTTCTTGCCCTTCTTCTTCGCCGACTTGGGCTTCTTCGCCTCGTAGAAACTGATTACGGCCCCTCCGGCGACGAACACACCACCAGGAAATTCGTCGTCAGAAGGTACAGGGATGAGTTGTGGCCCGGGCCTCGAGAAGGTCAAGGACTCGGGCATGCATTCGCGAAGGACTCCAGACGGCTCAGATGACAGGTCTCCACTTTCCAGAGTGAGACCGCGCGTGTGCAGACGGATGCGCTCTTGGTGGTCGATGAAAAGCATGGCGAGCTGGTATGTCTCCTCATTCGGTGAAGGCACAAACGCGAGCGAGAAGAGATTCCATTCCAGACATCTACACTATGGATCAGAGCAGTACCAATAGACGGGTGAAAGAGACACATACGGGATGTCGAGAACGTTGGGAGGGTCATTCTCCAATGAAAGGACCTTGAGCTTGCCGGCGTATACACTGGCGACCACGGCGACACCGTCGGGACTGACGAACACGTCGTGCAGCTCTTCGGCTTCTCGCGGCCCACGTTCTGCGAGGTCGAGGGACCACTTGCAGGCGAGCGAATGACTTCCATCTTCATTCGTGGAGAGCGTATAGAGAAGCAATCGAGGATCGGGATGATCTGTGAGTATAAGTAGCGACTCCGCGCCCTCCTGCTCATGTATCAGCCACATTCGCTTCTTGACCAAGATCCTCTCGCACCTGAGATGGGACGGTCTTCACCGACTCAACTCTTCCCCATATTTCTGCCGTACTTTCCAGCTTCAAACCCGCTTCTCCAGCCGAGTATACTTCAAGCTTATTCGGTCGTGCGACCGCAAGATGTCGCACGGTACGATCTGCGAGTAGATGGCATGAAGTGGAGGAGACCACCGCCGATGGCTGGTGGAATGTAGTCACAACCTTCATGATGGTCGCTCAGGAAAGAGCAGATTCATCGACTTCCATGCGTGTGTGGATGCAGCGATGCTCACGGCTGAGAGTGGGCCACAGAACGTCATGCCCGATCCGTTTCCGAGCTTCTGACGATTGATCTCACGGGCCGTGATGCACAGACTCTCATTCTGGCCTCCCTCTGCTCGGACACACCAAACACATATGTCGCTATGTTTGTATAGTTGGCGAATGCCTGATATGTAGTTCTGAAAGGCTAGGTCTCAATCCTTTCGTTGGATACCGGTCGTGAATGATACGCAACACTGGGACTTCCTCCGTCGTCACAGTACATAGACCGCGGGCGTATATATAGTGTAAGAATAATAGCACGACCCCAGTGAGAGGCCTACAACATGGCGTGTATACATTGCAGGACGAACGAGAGCTTGAGCTACATTGACGAGGAAAGACGAGGGGCAGAGCAATGTACTAGTACCAACAAAGGGAAAGCAAGGATCAAGAACACGAGTAGAGGTACAGCCCGGATGTGTGTGAAAGGAAAAGAGACAGACAGATCCTATCCTGCGAGGAGAATGGAGGACAGGGAGATGCGTATGTGTGGAGTGCGATATCAAAACTCATGCGTGTGTGACTGAGGATGCGAAGAGGGAAGAGAGCGAGTATAGAGAGAGATGTGTGTGATGAGCGTTGATGTCGTGTACAGAAGGAGGGAGACAGGATAGAATAAGTATACATTATGATTGAGAGGTGCCACACGATGGCACCAGTGCAGACCGGCGTACACCATAGAGTGTGCGTGTGGAGAGAGAGGCGACGGAGAAGGGCGCTCAATCGACGGCGGGCTCTCCGACGTCGACATCCTCGGGAGCAACCTTATCCGCATCAGCCTTGTCCGCCTCCTTCTTCTCCGGGCGCGAGAACCAACCACCGGCTTCCCAACTCCCACCGACATGGTACTCATCACGCCCGCGCTGTTCGGCGTCCGTGATGCCGCGGAGAAGCGTCTTCAACCGCTTGAAGTCGATAGGCTTGAGGATCCAGCCGTCAAGGCCCGTCGCGGCGAGCTCGCCGCGTTGACGCTCGAGGAGCGAAGCGCTGACGGCGAAGATGGGGATGCGGCCGTTTAGGACGTGCGAGACGCGGTCTTTGCGAGGAAGGCTGGATGTCTCGAGCTCGCGTATGCGCTCGGTCGCTTCGAGACCATTGAGGATCGGCATCCTAAGAGCCAGCACACGTCAGTAAGAAGTACTTGAGAACTAGGGTCCGAAGTACGCACTGTATATCCATAAGAATACAATCAAACTCCTGGTCCTTGACCACCTCGTCAACTCCCTCCTGACCATTCGTTGTATTGACGACCGAATGCCCATCGAGCTCAAGCCGCTTCGCAAGTATCTTCCGGTTGATATCGTTATCCTCTACGATGAGCACGCGTAGCCTGCGGTCGCTCGGCGTGCGTCGTCCGGCGCTCGGCCGGCTTTCGGTACTGCGAAGCGAAGTCCTGCTCGGACGTTGCAAGACCTGTCGTTGGCCGTCCATCTCATACTCGTCGATGCGTACTGGTCGCAGCGGGTTGCGTGAGCCGGGGATCGGAACGGTTCCGGGCGTGGGAGGGCCGCTCGGCGCTTCGATCATAGGACCGGGTCCACCAAACTGACTACTGAGCGCATCGACAATGCTCTCAACCTCGGCTGAGCCGCGCGAAGATGACCGTCCGCCAAGCGAGCTGGCCGAGCTTCCGCCTGCAGACATATTCCCAGACTCCCAGAGGACGAACGGGATGAGGAAGCTGAAGCTGCTGCCCTCGTTCACGCGGCTATCAACGCGCAATTGACCACCGAGTTGCTCGACGATACGCGCGACGACCGCCAAACCAAGACCCAGTCCAGGCCCAGTATTCGTCTTGGGTTGTGCGCTCTCAACCTGCTCGAACTCCCTGAAGATGCTCTCGAGCTTGGACGCCGGTATACCGCATCCCGTATCGCGCACGACGATCTCGACCGCGACGCTCTTCTCGCTTCGTAGACCTGGCGGCTCTTCGAACGCCTTGCATGTGACGGTAATCGCGCCCTGCTCGGTGTACTTCAGACTGTTTGCAGTCAAGTTTGCGACGACGGTCCTGATCTTGCTTGGGTCGCCAACGACAATGTGCGGTGCGCCGGCCGTATCAAGTTCGAACTTGAGACCGCGCCGTTGAGCCTCGGTTCGGTACAAGTTCGTCGCGTCGGCGATAGTATTGGGCAGATCGAACGGCTCGTTGAAGCTCGTCTCGTTCCCGCTTTCCAAGCGCGTGAGGTCGAGCAAGTCGTTGATCGTGAACAGAAGACTCTTGCTCGCGGCATGGCTCTGGCTGAGGTTGGTACGCGTCTCGAGATCGAGCGAGCCGTTCAGCGCCAACTCGAGACAGTTGATGATGTGGTTTAGGGGCGTGCGAACTTCGTGCCCGGCGTTACTCAGCAGCAGGTTCGTAAGCTTGGTCGTCTGCAGCGCCGTCTCCTTCTGCCTCCAGACTTCGATGAACTTGCCGTACACGAGCGCGAGTACGCCGGCTGTCTCGAGCTGCTCATCCGTCCACGCGCGGCAACGACCCGCGACGGTCTCGCTCCAGACCTTGAAGCTCTTCCGTGGCTCGAGCGTGGCCTTCGTGCCCTGCTCGCCGTCCTTGTATGGCTTCCCGGCCCAGTGAACGTGCCGAGGCTGACCCTTACGCAGAAGCGCAATGAAGTCCTTTCCGCCAGAGCTGAGCGGGACGTACAGTAGGCCGGCGATGACCTCGAGCCCAGTACTGAGCTGCAAGTCGGGGTAGTCCTTCGTAACAGCCTGCGAGACCTGGATCATGTTGAACTGCTTCAAGCGCAGGTACTCCGCTACCACCAGGACTTCCTGTCCATGCTCATTCGGACCCAAGATCTTCGCGCCCTCGCCGATGACGAGTACACCAAAGTCGGCGTCGAAGAGCCCAAGCAGGTCGTCAGCGTTTGAGACGATGTAGCCGGTTGGGTGCTGGTCTGACGTCATCGTGTTGAAGAGCTTGCGCGTGTGAAGCCGTTGTGCGTATGAGAGGCGCTCGATGTTGCGCGATATGCTATCGGAGAGCAGCCGAAGCATCTGTCGGACGGGGAAGGATACGCGCATCCCGTGTGGGCCGTAGCTGTGGCATGCTACGAGACCCCAGAGTTGACCGAATGCCATGATAGATACGGACATAGACGAGCGGACGCCCATATTCCCGAGGTCTGTTAATCTGTCAGCACAAGTACATGCGCCATACAGAGAACAAAGACAGACACTTAAGATGAATAGGACTCATCGCCCGCAAGTAGCAATGCGTCATGTTGAGCGGCACCTTCAGATCCTCCTCGCTCTTGCACACCAACCGCGCCGTAATCTTATCCCGATCATACAATAAGCGCATCTTATTGATCGTGTACAGATGCCGCGCTTGCGCGGGGATATCCGCCGCAGGGAAGTGTAGACCGCGGTAGAGATCGTGCGTCATGGTCCAGTCGACCAGCTCCGCGACAGTCTGCCCGTTCCAGTTCTCGTCGAACTGATAGACTAGTACGCGGTGAAACTGCGTAAGGTCCTTGATGATTCCCACTACAACGCGCAAGAAGCCCTCCAGATCGGCGGCGGCGCCCAACTGCTCGTTGATCTGCGCCATCACCGCGAAGACGTCCATCATACCCACGCCTCCTCCGCGTCTCGCGCGTCTGCCTCCTCGCCGTGCTGGACCTGGCGTCGCGGGCGCGCGAGACATCTGTCGTATACGTTCGAGCGCAGGTAGTGCCTTGGCGTGATTGGTCGTGCTCTCGAGGATCTCCTCCGCGCTGGGCTGCCAACCTTCCTCGCCAGGAAGTCCGTGCACGGTCTCGGAGCTATTGGTGCTCATCATACTCGCGTCGCTACCGCTGCTCCCACCACTGCCGATGCGTTGCGCAGGATTCGTAAGCGGGCCTGGCCGTCCACTCTCCGGCGAGCCCGGGGCAACGATGTTGCCTTGGCCGTCGGTAGTTAAAGCGCTTGGGCCGGTACTTGGCGTCTCGATGCCAGGGGTGTCGACACCTGGACTACCGCTGGGAGCAGAAGGCACGAGCGTCGTTCCGCTGTCGTCCGATATCATCGTGCTGCTGGGATTGGGATCCGGTGTAGCCGCAGCGCCGCTTTGTCGAGACCCTGCTCGCGTACCAGACGAGCTGACGAGCGTCGTCCCGGATCCGCCCGCGCTGCTCGAGCCCTGTAGAGTTCATGATGAGCTCAGACCAGGAGTAGATGATGGCGTTGCAAGAGAGTTTGGGCGCAGCTTCGCGCGGGGAAACTCACCGTGGCGGGAGATTCGCTGCCACTACGTGCAGCGCCTTCTGAGAATGCCGGGTATAGCGGATTGTAGACGTCGTGCTCTAGCTCAAACTCGAGTATAATGAGGTCCTTCTGAGTCGCGGCGGAACCGTCTGCTGAGGCTGCCGGTCTGTGCGCCGCGCACCAACACGACCTGAAGGTTAAAAAATAATCAGAATTTCGTCTTCACGGACAAGGTTCATGAGATAGAGACGATAGGTTGCGGCAGAACCCTCCGGCGGCAGAGAAGAAACGTCTCCGTTGACAGGGCAAGGTTTGGAGAAGACGAACGTACCAAAACCGGCGATTGAACTGGTCCCTGTCCGGATCGTCCTGACGCGCGCTGCCCGGCATGCCCCAGCCTGAGAGTAAGAAGACATGGGGGCTCTCGTCCTCCTCGCCGCTCGGGTCGGGATCTGTCAAGAACTGAATATTGTCCCAAAGCGTGTCGGCTTGAGAGTCCGGCAGGGCCTACGCATGGGAATGTCAGCATGAACGTTCGTTTGGGCAGAGGGGTGATTAGATAGTCGAGACGGACGATAAGGTTGAAACTCTGCAGTTGGAAAAATGAAGAAAATATTCGGATGAGAGCTGTGGCACGGCGCAAAAGCGCCCGGAGAGTTCTCGAAGTCTAATCGACAATCTCGATCGACGACGCAAGCGAGAAGTCTGGAATGTGGACACGACGGGGAAGGGGAAATGCGAACGCGGGGCCCGACAATGATGCCGCTATCTGCGAGACAGTACGTACCTCGGTGAAGCAAGGCAACGAGAATAGATATCGCGGACTGAGACCGAGGAGCTCCGTGCTGTTCTCAGATACCTGGCGAACAACGAGTGTCTCGTTGACCGTGTCTTCTTGAACGGCAATGAGTACGCCAAAGCCTTGGATGGCACCAGGCGTTCGGATGGGCTACATGTCTCAAAGTCAGCCAATGAGCCAGTAGTATGGAAACAGGTTTACAGACCTCGTCTTCGCATCGTAGGAGCTTTCCCTCACGGCCAACGACAACATGATGCCCATCGCCATCCTGCGAGTGTTCGAACCTGAAAGTGACATAGGGCTCTCCAGCCGAACTCGCGTATCCGGTTCCCGAACTATCGCCACCAACTCCGTCACCACTCCCAAGCGCTTCGCCGTTCTGGCTGCTGCCATTGCCGCTACTGCCGCTATTCGCTCCTATACTGACAGGCCTCGAAGGCTCTGCACTAACGCCAGTAACGGGACTGCTTCCAGCTTCTCCACCGCCACTTCCCGCCGACACGCTCCCCTCTGCGACCGCTTCTACTCCCTCGCGAATCGATCGCTTCGAGCGGCCCGAACCTCCCGAACCTGCCGCACTGGTCACGTCGCGCGGCGGGAGATGGACGATGCCAGGGTCGGTGACGTGCACCGGCGACGGATCGCGCTCGCGTTCGCCACGCGAGGTGACCGGACCAGGCGGCGCGGGCGGGGACCGGAACGCGGCGGCTCCCTGTGCGAGCATCGAGAGTCCGGGCGGGTGTCGCGAGTCGTACGGCTGCTGATTATCCTCCGTATTATCCGCCGCCGCGGCTTCTGCCGAGCGTGGCTGGGGCGCTGCGATGAATGTGCGCGGGCCAGAGCTGCTGCCGGCGGCGGGAAAGTCGCGGTAGTTGGGCGACTGTGCGCGCTTCTTGCGTCGTTTGGGCTTGGACGTGTTTGATGTAGCCTCGGATACGGCCTGGCGCAAGGTCTCCTGCAAGCCCTCGCCGAGCGAAAGCGTGTTTGTTCGTGTTAACGGCGGAGAGATGGGCGGAGAGGTCGCGAGGGGCGGGGACATCGCGCCGTCTTGCGTCGAACCAGAGTCGTTGGAGCTCGACGGTTGTATGTTGCTAAGCAGCGTCCGTGTAGGGTAGACAAAACTTGTCCCCTCTGGAGGATTATTCGGGTTATTCGTCATGCTCTCTAGTAGGGAGGCGAGATGGGCGCGAAAGGCAACCCTGGTCTCTTGTCCGAGATCAAAGAGATTCACTTTCTACTTCCGTACGTCATAATCAAAGCACATGCCGCCGCGTCGTAATAACGTCGACGCGCCGATCTAAACATCTACCTATCTACGCTCACAGATCGAACATCGCCCGCACAACGTCCTGCACGCCCTCCTGAAGACCTACACGCTCGTGGGCGCCGTAAAATGTCTGCAGGTGCGCTACGGCACCCCGGCCCTGGTCACGCTCCAGGGTTTGCAGCTTGCCGAGCCGCTCGATCGAGCGCTCCACGACGCGTGTGGCACCCTTCAACGTCGCCCCTGCCGCATCTCTCGCGTTCTCGATCTCGTCGGCCACCTCGGGCTGCGCGCTCGCAAATAACTTGGCACTATGCGAGAACGGGATGTCCCAGTCGTCCTCGGCATGTACGAGTAGCAGCGGCTGGTGCATGTCCTGCGATGTGAAATATAGTCAGCGGGGAAGTACGGCGGTAAAGTCATGACCCCAAGAACCGAGAAGCGCAGGGTTTCATCAAGCCACAATTGTCAAGTGGCCTTCGAGAATTCCTGTGAACGGCAAAGAAGTCGCTTGATAGGGAAGACGGAACCCTCTACGCCATCGATAACTGCGACACGCTGCGATGCTCAGGCTCGTTGGGGACGCCACGTACAAGCACCGATACATAGCGGGGCATCGCGACCGGGTGCTGTCCCGATGAGCGGAGGTAAACTGAGATGCGTGGAGTGGGGTCGTCCGCGCGAATCGCAAGAGATGCAGGCGCCCACGAGCGCCTACACGCGCCTACTCAGGGCGCCACACGTCCCGATCGGGCGTGTATTGGTCGCGTGCCCACGTCGATCTTTCACAGCCTGGAAACATGAACTGCAGAACAGAGGCTTACCTTGAGCTTAGATAGGCTATCGAACTTGTGCACCAAGAAGCTCTTGAAGGTCTGGGCGACGAAAGGCGGGAATACTCCAAGTGGCTTCAAAAGCGGCACTAAACCGAGTATGTAGTACGTATCGAGCAGGCTGCAGAGTAGATCAGGTCCTGGAAACTGGATATTGGAGAGAGGCGCGTACCTCGCAACGTCGGCGAAGGGCGCAAACAGCACAACTCCCCTCGCCTTCTTCCCGTCTCGCTCAAGGGCGGCGGCCGCCTGAACCGCGACACCCGTACCCAGACTCGTCCCCGCGATCAAGATGTCACCCTCCTTCGCTCCATGTTCCACCAGCCAGTCAAACGCAGCAACAGCGTCAATTGTCAGCCCCTCCTCGCTCGGCTCGCCCGTGCTCTCAGCGAACCCGCGATAGTCTATCGCGAGCACGTTCACGTCGAGCCGATTGCTGAATGATGAGAGGTGCTCGACGCGTGTGCGTGCGGCGCGCGTTGCTGCGTTGCCGTGCAGGTAGAGTATTGTTGGTCGTGATTGGAGGGACGAGGCGATGGCCGAGTCGGATAGTGGGGACGTAGCGTGGAGGGTTCGGTGGAATGAGTCGGGGAGGGAGAACCAGGCGCCGAGGGATTCGCCGTCTGGTGTTGCGATGCGGAAGCTCAAAGCTTTATACGCTATTGAGAAGTTAGTATAGACTAGAATTGAATGATGTGGGTACACGCACGCGCTAAGCCATATGCCTCTGGATGTTCGTAGTCAGGGAAGAGTGGTATGTGCAGCCAATGGCAGTAGATCAACCTACAAACGCTCTTCATCAGTCGTATGCATAGACAGACATATATACAGTACGTACTGCTTCTGCACCCATGGTATACATCCGAGCACGAGAAAAGACGCGTATAATGCGCCGAAGACAAGGAAGATCTTGTGAGCGCGCGCGATGAAACCCGCGTTCGGGCCACCGCTTTCACCGCCAGTCATATTGCTCGGTCAGGAATTAGAGTACAATATACGCAGATATAGTACAGAATCGGTCTAGATGCGTGCAGTGATGTCTAGAAGTATAGTCCGAGATACAGAGCAGAGCGAGATGAGCGTCAGACGCAAGTCACGGTCCCAGACGCGCTCGGTGAAGAGCGTGGTTTCCCTGAGTTGCTTCGAACGTGCATGGCGGCTTCAACTGAACACCTGTGAACAGACAAAGTACAACTCTGGTCACCAATTTCTGAGTGTAAAGGCGTCACCTTCTCGTAGGCGCTTGTGATCCTTCTCTCCACGCGAGATCCTTGGCTCCCGCTATTCCGCCCAAGTTGCCGTCTTGCCTTCATCCCTCCAAACGAACTTCGCCAGTTCCAGCCTCGTCAGACATGGCCTCTACTTCTGAAGGTACGTAAGCGCTACTTACGTGTCAGTCTCGGTACTCACTGGGGTCATGTTCGCAGAGCCAACCCTACTTCATCCTCGCCAGAAGATATGGCAACTATATATTGCGGACGCGCACAGCCGTGATAAGGCTCGCTTGGAACAATGGAAGGGGGACACTGAGGGCATTCTCATCTTCGTACGTCTCTCTATCTACGATGGCGTTCCTTGATATATCTCAATCCTTCCCACAGACTGGTCTTTTTGCGGCGACGGTTGCGACGTTCGTCGTGAGCACTCTGCCCATGCTCTCGCCCGACTCCGGAAACCAGACCGTGGAGCTTCTCCAGGTTCTGATATCTATCTCGAACAGTAGCAGCCCGGGGATTGTCGTCCCGGCTGCCGACGTGGCCGCTATCACATCGACTTTCGATGTGCCGAGTTCAATCGTCTGGTTGAATGCCTTTTGGATCGTCAGTCTGTTCTTAGCCCTGTCGGTTGCGCTCGCCGCCACTCTTGTACAGCAGTGGGCGCGCACGTATACATTGGATTCCAGTGGGCACATCAACATCGGGAAGCGCGGTCTCGTTCATGCGGCGCTTGAGCTCGGGATCGAACGTTTCGGCATGGAGAACACTACCATCGTCATGACATTTCTGCTTCACGTATCGGTCTTCCTATTCTATGGAGGGCTCTTGATCTTCTTGTTCACCACGAACATGCTTCTTGCTCGGGTCTTTGCTGCTTTGCTGGGCACCGCCGGCCTGATATACTTAGGCTTGAGTCTAATGCCCATTGTAGTTTGCGACTCTCCGTACCACACACGTTTCAGCCCACTCATCGTGCCTATCAGGCACGTTTTACTATCTCTCCTCATGCCTATATTGGAAGTGGCTACCGATCATATCTCTTCTGACTGGCTCATAGACCTGTGGGCTTGGTATACAAATGATGGTCATGGAAACCTACCTCCAGAGCGAATCTTGCTCAGGTCACGAAAAATGAAGATAGCGGACATCATATCCCCTCAGACCCGGTTTGCGTGGCATAAGTCCGCGTTCAAACGTCTGGTACAATCGGCGGATGAGCTACACGAGATATTATCCTTTTGGGAGGGTTACACCCTCTTCGTAGACTCCCCGCAGACAGACCGTGAGCTGGTGAAAGACTTGCAGGGTATAGCAATCCCGAAGACGGGTCTGAATGTATTCCATCACATCCGCGCATTACTTCAGTCTTTGAATAGCGACAACACTCATTTCGCTCGTATCGCGGTCGTTGTCTGCACTCTGACTCGACACGTCCTTCATTTCTACGGTGTCCGTGGTGATTCAATTAGGAAGACACTAGAGATTCTGGCGCTCGCAGGCAGCGAGTTGGGTTATTATGATGACTCTCGTAAAGCATTGGGGTCGAGACAAGCATGCCAATTGTACTTTGCCGAAGTACAAATCATGCTTCTGCAACTAGGCTCCCGCTCCCATTCTTGGTTTGATGACGAGGCATACAGTCTTGCTTTAGATCGCCTTCGACTGGTCGGTGCTCTTCACTTAGGTACCGTGACTTCGACCACCGTGCGTGATATAGACCTCCAGGCTTGCCTCGTGGACAACTTCATAGGACTATTTTGGCATGTACTGGACTGGGTTAATGTCCTAGGGCTTGATAAAATTTCGGCCACTTTTCAAGGACAGGGAACATCATGGCTCAGCATGGTCCAGAATGTCTGTGACCATGCTGTTGCATCTGCTTGGGAGAAAGAGACAGCCAACCTCTTTATCGAGACGTATCAGGGAATTCATCGTCTACGGCCAGATTCAGACGTCGGGAACCTGCTTTCTCGACTAGGGATCGCCGATTACAACGATCTCGACAATCAGGAGTACACCGAGGACGATTCGTTGAACGTAATGCCCTTCGGCGCTGTGAAGACAAGATACCGGCCATTCTTCGTAGCCCATCCTGAGTTCGCGCGGATGCTATACGCGCTGTGCGCGATGCTTGTCGATCACAAGGACGTCACGGCCTCCTCGGTGAAACCACTGGCTTCGTCACATTCTTCGTTTCAACGGTATTCTCCTGCGATGTCCTTTTCTCTGCATGGCAGAGGTCATAGTGACGGCGCATCGCACACAAGTTCGCGCCTATCTGGTACGCCTGCGCGGCACGACGTACCGGAAGTATCAGTTGAAATGGACTCGAGCTCTGTCGTATCGAACTCGCCTGATCCTTCGCGCTTCGGGTCGGCGTCCCAGGCTGCCACCCCGCATCCCGGAAAGGTCAACGGACTGCATGAACGCAACGGGATTCAAAGGCTCGCTCTGCCTCCATCCTTCACGCTGAACGGAGAGTTTGAAAGCGACGGGTCGCCAAGTGTTACAGGAGATCGGAGCGAAGGACATGGACTACATTTGGCTAGTGTCGCCCCCGGCCACGTGCAGATGCATGGATATCCGCTGAGAAGGAGGGACGACTCTCCGTCCAGATTCACACAGGCAGGGATAGATGACCTGGAGCCGAGTAATGTCCTCACCACAGCTCAATACGGCGTAAGAACGGCTGAAGATGAAGGGCCAGCAAACCCTGATTCTTTATCGCTGCACTCCGAAGCATGCGATACCGACACGGTCCCTGAGATATCGATACAACCGGACTCAAGCACCGATGAAAGCATAGATGGAGAGCCTGGGGGCGCATCAGAGGATGTGGGACTTGGTTACGAAGAGGCAGGAAGCGAGACGCAGGACCAACGGCGAGATGCGGAAGATATGGTTTGATCTTCCCCATTGTCCGTCATGCAGGCGGACCCGTTCATCCTGTACAATCTACTTTACAGTACCAGTACAAGTGCCGTACTTTAGCGTATATTGATTGCACGGTTTGAGTCCGAAGTCATGAGAGTCATCAGTTGTAAGATGTTATTGAAGAAAGATGTAGTGTGCGAGCTATAGTATCGGTTATTAGGGGGAGGTTATGCTGACAAGAAGCAGACGCATCAGAGTTATCGCCTACAACCCGCTCTGATCGGCGACGTTCGCCTGAATAATCTCCATACGTTTGCTCCTTTGTTCGAGGTTGGCAAGTACTTCTGTGCCATTGGTCACGCATAGGGAAGTAAGGTAGTTGGTGGCGAGTGTCTCTGGTTGAGCGAGAGCCATCCTGTTGACGGTGTCTGCCAAGCTCGGCGTGAGCGGCGCGTGCCGGTCGTAGGTGCTAGCCATCTCGCATGTGTTGCTTCGGTTGCCAGGAGTCGTGCAGCATTGGATCATGATACACGATCCAAAGGTGGGTCCAGAGTGTGGAGAGGTGTAAAATTATGATACAAGAAACAGAGCAGAGTGAGGTGACCGTCAGAGATGAGTTGGGATGCGCACTGGCGCGCCGCATCGGGCTTCGCGGCCCGGAGACCCGACGCGTGTATAGCTTGTTGCTCCTGACGTCCATCTGCCCCAGAGTCCGCTCCCCAGCCTCCTGCCCAGAGTCCGCTCCCCAGCCTCCTACCCTCCGGCGGTCCAATCGCAGTTGCCGCGGCGAGCGTGAGATACAATGCAGCTCGAGCCCTTGCTCGAAAGGATGGACGGACTATCGGATGCGATATCGTTCTGGGACAGCTATATCGAATCCGTTTTGCCCATCAGCAGCTACCGCTACCTACATCCTTCAGATTGTGACCACCTTTACAATATTCATGCGAGCGCTGGGAATGTACTGTCAGCGATCCTGGTGGCGACGACGGACTGTGAACTCGACAAGTTCAACCGGCTCGTACTGCTCGCCTGTGGCGTCGTGCACTACGTCCTCGAGGAGCAAATCCCGGACACCATCTCGGCACGAGCTTTATTCGATGAGCTACGCGTCACCTTCTTTGCGCAACCTGCATCTCGCTTGCGCGTAAGCGATCTCGATCAGCGTGAAGCTGTCGATGCGCCGAAGTCCGAGCGCCTAGGGATTAGAGAGGCGCGGCAGCTCTACGTCGCCCTAGTGCATACTACCCTTATGGATATGGCGCTTCGCCAACCCGTATGGCTCTCCTATACTCCCTTCGTTGACACTTATACGAGGGTCTGTCATGCCATGGGGATACCCTTGCGCCACTCGGTCATCTATAGCGAGAACTTCTTCATAGAAGGAGCTATCTTTTCGGGCTTCCTTACTCTCTTTGCGCAGATTGTGTCTTGGAGAGCCCCTCCAGTCTTCACTGCCACCCCAGCGTCATTGACAGGCCTGTCGTGGATCAGTGTTGTGCAGCATATACATGTACACGCCAGCGCCAGTGCCGGTCATAATCGCGTTGCCGAGCTCTATATCGGTGCGAACGAGCCATCGGCTCGGTTACAACCGCAACCTGACCTAGCCCAATTGCTTCGTGTATTGGCTATAAAAGATTGCATGGATCTTGATATGAAAAGCACCACCGCTAGCGAGTTCGAGCGGCGCATACTCTTCGACGCTACTCGACCCAGATACCGACCACTGTTCATTGCATATCCTGATCTTGTGAATATGCTATACACATTTTGTGTCACACTCGTCGAACCGCGCAACATCACGATGTCCAGTTTTCATACTGATGTCGCTTCATCGTCATCGGATTTGCAGTCCGATCATGCGCTCGCAGGGCCTCGTACTGCGAGCCATGCCCGTGGTGGGCCATACCCGACTTACAGACTCGTTCCCAAACCTTTCCTCTATCGGAGGTCGAAGATGGCCGGTGTACGCAAAGATGAACATGGCGAGGAGAACACGCGCCTCGATTCGGACATGGAGGAGGAACTCGCCGTCGGGTCGCGCGAGGATCAGGGAAACAATACGTAGTTATAAAGATGCTACAGTCAAATATGCGTAGTAGAACAATCGTAGGTCATGAGTGTCGTAAGTCGTAAAGGTCGTCAATCGTGGGATGGTAGAGTAAGTCAAAAGCACAACAAAGCAAAAGAATAAGAAGGAATAAGCAAACGCGCAGGAGGTCTCGCAGAGGGAGTAAGCATCGGAAGAGGGATTAGGAGCACGGGAGAGGAAGGTAGCGCAAGGGATATAAGGGAGATACAGGCATATCGGGATCATCGCCTGCGTCCCGCCTTCTCCGTAACATCCTTCCAGAAAGACTCCCAATGTTCGCCCCTTCGCTCGCTGTTCGCAGGCATACCGGTTGGCGCGCTCGGAGCGCCAGTGGCACCCGCACCGAAGGCTTCATGTTGCGCGACGGCGATGCGGTCGATCGCGTTTATCAAGCTCGGCGTGAGCGGTACCGCGCCGGGTGGAGGTAGAAGCCCGTTCGCGTTAGCCTGTTGTGACGCTGGAGGCGGTGCGGCAGGAGATCGCGGTACGCGAGTGAGAGGCGGTGTCGTGAGCGTCGCGCTGTCTGATATTGACGCAGTAGACGACGAAGCCGCACGGGCGATGAATGGCGGTCTCCATCCCTCGCCGCCGCGTGGTGGTGCGGGCTTCTTGAGCATAGACGCCACGTCCTCCTCGACATCGCTGTAATCCGGCGCATCGCTCTCAGCGTCTCCCGCGGCCCTCTTTCTCACACCGAACAGCTTCGCGCGCTCGGCGTCGTAGTGGAGTTCGGGTTCCTCGCTGAGCGCGTCCAACCCGTTATCTGAGCATGCGAGCGTCTTGCTCTCCGCTGAGCCGGTATCCGTGGCTGTACGAGCGGGCTTGGGCGGGAAGAGAGGGTCGTCGTCTTCGTCGTCTGACAAGTCGTCGCCGTTTATGGGGCGGAACTTGACCGCGCTTCGTTTCGTGCGTCCGCTCTCGGCTTGCGCGAGAGCACGCAAGCGCGCCATGGGTCGTTCGCTCTCCTTTCGAAGCAGCCGAGGCGGCGTAGCAAACTCGAACGGATCCTTCTCGAGCGGACTAGTGCCGAGTCCGCCGGAGTACGCGGGTGGTGGTGTTCCGGGTCCTGGCGCGACCATCGCAAACGGCGTTGGACCCGTGGCAAACGGATGCGCGAGCTTCTCCCAAACCGAGCGTGTATCGGGGATGAACGTTCCGGCGCGGTCGTTGGCGTTCGGAAGGGCGGTGCTGTAGTCGGCCAGATAGGAGTCCCAGGCTTCGTCTGGGCAGGAGCCGAAGCGGCGTTTCAGTGCCCAGTCAGACGCAGCGCCGAGTATAAGGATGAGCCAAAAGCCCGCGCTGAGACCTTGCTCGGATGGAGTGCCCCACACGATGTTCGTCGAGGTCCAGAGGCGGGACCAAGGGCTGCCCCACGAGGGCTGAGAGGCGAGTAGAGCGACGGAGAGGGCGAAGCCGAAAGCGCCTGTGGCTGTGGTACTTGTGCGCAGGGCGGCTTCGCGTACGCGAGTGGGGAGAAGGACGGCGACGAGGAGAAGCGTGATGAAGAGCGCGGGAAAGACTTGTCGCGCCAGAAGAGGTGGGTGGATCGTGATGCCGAAGGCGAGTGCGAGCGAGGTACCGCCGGTGATCGCGGCGAGGGAGAGGGCTGCGTATTCGAAACGCGCAGCGAGAAGAGAAGTAAGGATACAAGATAGCAGCCAGACAGCAATGAAAGCCTTTGAAGAGAGAGCAGATTGAGAAGTCACGTTTGGAATGAGCAGCGCGAGGAAAGTAGATAAGTGGACTGTACGAATATCAGTGCCAGTATAAAAGGGATAATGCGAGGACACGTACGACCGAACGCGTAACCGACTAATGTACCACCGATACCTCCCTCAAGGTAGAACTTGAGCTTTCTGGACTTGATGGGCGAAAGAGCGAGCGCGTCGTGCCTGGGCGCGAAGCTGCGAGAACGGTGGAGCGTGAGGAAGGTGCCGGCGAAGACGGTAACGAGAGACGCGAGCAGGAGTGGGATCGCGTAGGCGTATAGTAGCGAGGAGCTGCCCAGCGTCGCCTCGAGCGTCGTCGACATCGCGGTAAGGAACAGAGCCGCGGATAATGCCGCCGAAGCGCGCGACCCCGCCTCTGAGTCCAAAGCTCAGAGTCGCACGTCATGCTGCGCGTCCATTCTCTCGCCCGTCGCGCGTACTCGGTAGCCGCAAACAATGCTGCTGGCCCGGGTATCCCGCCGCCGCTCAAGGGCATCCGTATATTGGACTTGACGCGCGTACTTGCCGGTCCAACCGCGACGCTCTTGCTCGGAGACTTGGGCGCAGACGTCATCAAGGTTGAAGAGGTCTCGCGCGGGGACGACACTCGTGCGTTATCTCGCTTTCCTGTCTCCTCTAACATTGATGTCTGATTCATATCTCCCTCTTCAGGCAGCTGGGCGCCTCCTGCAGCGCCTCTGAGCCCCGATGCTCCCGCCGCATCGTCGCACTTACCACCCGAGTCGGCGTACTTCCTGTCTGCGAACCGCAATAAGCGCTCAATCACCGTCAACTTCAAGCGCCCGGAAGGCCTCGAGATCTTGCACAAGTTGATCAAGACGAGCGATGTCCTGGTTGAGAATTATGTCCCTGGCAAGCTCGCGCAGATGGGTCTTGGGTACGAGGATGTACGGAAGATCAACGACCGCATCGTCTATGCTAGTATCACCGGTACGCCTTGACATTGTCCCGCGCGTGTCGGTTCACTCAATGCCTTGACAGGTTACGGTCAGACGGGCCCCTATCGCGAAGCTCCTGGCTACGACGTCGTGATTGAGGGCGAGGCTGGGCTCATGCATATGTGCGCTTTGTTTGTCTCATTCACGATGTTGTCTCGAGCTGACATTGTACAGCACTGGCGAGCCCGACCGTCCACCGTCTAAGGTCGGCGTCGCTGTGACGGATATCGCGACCGGCCTGTACACCCATGGCGCAATCATGGCCGCTCTCATCTCGCGCCAGCAAACCGGTAAAGGTTGCTGGATCGACGCGAACCTCTTTGAATCGCAGGTACTTGCGCTATATTTGTCCCTTCTCGCGTACCGCATCTTGACGTCGGTTGTAGCTTGCCGGCCTCGCCAACATCGCCTCGAACTACCTGATTGCGGGCGCGCAAGCTGGACGTCACGGTACCGCGCACCCGTCTATCGTACCCTACCAGGTCTTCCCGTGCAAAGACGGCTACATTATGATCGGCGCTGGAAACGAGAAACAGGTCTGTACAACCACGTGTTCTCTTTTCCTCTCGTATCCTACTTTGCTGACACGCTATGCTTATACGCAGTTTGGCATTCTCGCGCGGAACGTTCTGAAGCGGCCAGAGCTTGCGACCGACGCCCGCTTCAGCTCGAATGCCGCCCGCGTTGCTCATCGCGCCGAGCTGGTGCAGTTCATTACTGATGTGCTCATGGAACACGACCGCGCGTACTGGCTCGACGCGTTCAAGGGGCAAGGGTCCGTACATATCCGAACCACGCGATGACCTATCTCACAGCGTGTCTACAGGGTTCCCCATGGCCCGATCAACAATATTGAGCAGACATTCGAGCACCCGCAGGCGCTCGCGCGCGGTGCAGTCGTCGAGGTCGATGTATGCTATCTTTGTTTCGCGTGTCTGTCATGAGCACTGAATTTATGCTATAGCATCCTCGTGCTGGTCCGATCAAGATGGTCGCGCCTGCTGTCAGCTATAATGGGAAGAAGATGCCCGTTACACGGCCCCCGCCCTGGCTTGGGCAGCATACTGATGAGGTGCACACGCGGTGCTTTGTTTTTATCATATCTCGGTCCACTCTGCCGTGCTCGCAGGGCAGTATTGCTGCTCATACTATGCATCGGCTGCTCAGGAGGCCGGTTGCTGCTACTTTCATACCTCCAATTTGCCATACGAGTCGGAATACTGACTAAATTGCAGGTTCTTACTGAACTGGGTTACTCGGAAGGCGATATTGTATCTTTGCGGGCAGCAAAGGTGGTGTAGGTCGTTGCAATCTATCACCGAGATGCAGCATGCTAGGATGAAGTTCCGAATATTCGGAAAGTCAGAGTTTCACTTCCAGTAAGTGAGTAAGTAAGTAAGCTGCATCCATTGTGTCACATCAATACTGGGCATTTTCAGGACCATATCACGCATGTAGCCACGTGCTGCAGAGTTGTCTACCACGAGTGTTGGCTTCTTCTGTGCAGGCAAAAAGGCTGCAAAAGCGGACAGTAAAAGTTAAAATTCGGAAAGTCATGTATAGCCTGGAAGCAGAATTCTAAAAATAGTCCCCTTTGGAAACAGTTGGATTTGGAACCTTTTTGAGCTCGTTGTCAAAGTGTACTATGAGCTACTGTAGTTCTCAGACCAGAAGTTCATAACACATAATGCGCAACTCTCCTGGCAAACTTCTGAGGAGGTCTGTCATGTGCAATACCATATATACAAACTTACATTGTGTGACACTTGCTCTATGTAGTGTAAATATCAATATTATACTCTAGAAACAAGCAGAAACACAAAACAGGGCTGAAAATAGGCTGTACAAACATATAATTCTGCTGCACTTCTGCGATGCCATCGGCAGTGTGGACGGCGTCCGGCAGCGCTGACAACGGAGATGCGGATCCGTGCGGACGCAGCTTCCCGGCCCATACAACCGTCACGGCTGCCGGCCAGGTGCCGATAGTGCCGATGATAAATACTGAAGTACTGGTATTAGTCTAATGTAGTAGGGGTGAATATCATTAGCTATCTGTACACAATAGAAATACATATTATAGTTACCATTTGCGGGGGTGCCGAGCGGCGCGGCATAACCGGCAGGGTCGACAGACCCGGCAGTCCCAAAACGAGGACACCATCGGGAGGCCGACACTGCCGACCCTGCAGAACATTCCCCGGCGATGCTCATATGCTCCGCCACCGGATGGCGGTACAGGACCGATCAATACCGCCTGCACACCGATACCGCTGCAACCGCATTCAGCGTCCTCGATGTCGCCTGACAGTCCTTCGCGTCCGCAGACGGGCTACTCCAGCCTCAGGTAGAGAGGCTACGCAGGCAGGATCGATCCTGGA